TATTTTTGATGATAGCTACTTTTGATGGTCCATAATGAAAGAGTTTAACTTTAGCTGTTCCGTTTTACTGTTATCTTCCACTCTTTAGTAGAGCATGAAATAATCAGTAATATAGTCGAAGTAATTGATTTATCTTATTTGTAGGATTTTGAAGAGTTGAATAGTCGGAATAACCACAGAGGTAAAAATTGTCATATTTGGAGAGCCTACTCTTTCAAGTATTAATGATTATAGGAAAGTAGAAAGGAGGAAAGATTGTAATTTGTCTCTGGTTTCTTAAGTAGAAAATTTTAAGGAAAATGAATGCTCGGAAAAAGAAAACCAATCAATCTACGTACTGAATATTATCATAAACTAAACAGAGTTATGGTAGTGCATTTTCAGGGTATCATTTCTTGTTTGGCATGCGTTAGAATTGCTCGTTGAAATGGTATGTTTTTTTTTTTATTATGATGAGTAAGAAGAAAAAAAATATAAGATGTCATTTATCTGTTGAGAAAGAAGACCATTCTGTACACTTGGTTAAATACATTAACAAAAAAGGAATGAAAATTAAATCTCATTATTTAGATCTCATTTTTGCAGCTATTTTATTCTTTTTTCAAATCATTGGTTGGAAAAGATGTGGTGGTGGAATTGAAAAATGATCTGAGGTAAGTTATAATGATATTACACTAGTATTGCATTATTTTTATACCTTTCTAAAGTGACAAATTATTTTGGTTCTCTTTAAAGGCTAGAAAATAATTAATTATTAGAATTAGTGATAGAAATGCTTGCTTTGTATTGTTTTTAACTTATCAATTATGGAATAGGAATAAAAATAGATAGTATTTGTAGTGCTACTGCTACAACTACAATTAAAAGATATGATCATGATCTTTTTTTTTTTCATTGCAGTATTTGCGGTACATTACATTCTGTTGATCAGTACCTAAATATGAAACTGACGGATATCTCAGTGACTGATTCGGAGCGATATCCGCATATGCTTTCCGTCAAAAACTGCTTCATTCGTGGATCTGTTGTACGATATGTGCAGTTGCCTGCTGATCAAGTGGATACTCAGCTACTGCAGGATGCAAGTAGGAAAGAAGTTATGCAAGCCAAAAGAACCGCTACCGCCTAATTTTTTTTGTCTAACTTTATCAATTAATGATTACCTTGACTTTACTCCTACACATACATTTTCTCCAGCAAAAAAAAAAAGAAAAAAAACCTTAAGTCAGAAAAAATTGATTACTTTTATTATTTTGATTAAAATTTGAACTCCTCCTCTTTATTTTTTTTTTTGAGCATTTAACTTCAACCTTCAACGTTGCATTTTATTTTATTTTTTTTTTCCTTCAGTTAAGTTTTATCTTGTTTTTGTTTTACCGATATTGTTCAAAAATAAATGATCTGTTTGCATAGCGATTTTTGAAATCGTCATTTTATGATGTTATACGATAAACACGATATTCCTTTAATCAGAAATTTGAAAAAAGAGAGTAAAAGCTGATAGCGTGACGAAATGATAGGGTTGAATTGACGTTGGTAGCAGTAAGATGAAATATATGCATATGCAAATAGCAATTTTTTGGATATTTATGGATAAATCTACCACTGTGATTTATCTCCAAGAATTTTTTTATACAATAATAATTTTTAAATTTACGATTAACAATAATTTGTTAAGTTTTTTTTAAATCAGATATTCATTGATAAGTTGAGTATAAAAAAAAGTGCATAGTACTAAATTAAGAAAAATAAAAATAAATTGCAATACTAAATTGATAATGTTTAACAATACATAGGTTTACGTCCAGAAATGAATGTTAAACGTTTGCTTTAAATTTGAACATAACACATCCGTAAATTTCCGTAAATTTTAGTTTTAACTCATTACCCGTAACTATCATGCTTAATTACCCATAAATCTTGCTAAAAATCTGTAATATGTGAATTACATAAATGAATGATTCATTTTAAACAGTGCAACAAATGTTTGTCATTAAAATAAATTATTCTGCTAAATTAATTATGCTTTACAATATTTTTTAAAATATATTATTAATTTGGAAAATGATACGCGTATCTTTTTATCAGAAATGCAAATTTTAAGTTTCTTACAAGTAGGAACATTTTTCAAGATTATTAAAACTATTGCTACAATTGCAGTCATTAGAATAAATTATTCTGCTAAATTAATTATGCTTTACAATATTTTTTAAAATATTGTCCATTTTTAAAATTTATTATTAATTTGGAAAATGATACGCGTATCTTTTTATCAGAAATGCAAATTTTAAGTTTCTTACAAGTAGGAACATTTTTCAAGATTATTAAAACTATTGCAGTAGCAAATTTTGATTATATGAATGAAATTACTGATCATCTCTTAATCTGAAAAAAAAACGAAGCGAAAAGCTTAAATGAATGATAATTAGTAAATCTGATAGCAATAGAATTAAAACTGAAAAGAAGTTTAGAAATGAAAAATGGCATAGAAAAAAGGATTAGGGATTTTTATGATCTTTAATATTTTTTTAAAGTTATTTAGGAAAAAAAAAATCTAAACCTATTTCTTGGGTTAATTTGGATAGTTATTATTGTAGCCTATTTTCTTAATTTATTAAATTAATTTTTTTCATTAAGATTGAATTAATTTTCTTTTTTTTCGTTTTTCAATATGTATTGAATATGTTTTATTAATATTTTATTAGTTTAATCATTCTCATTCTTCGTGAATAATAGAAAAATTTTTTTGATTTATGAGTTTTTTCTATTTTTTTTTTCTTTTTGCAACAAAAAGTGTTTATTACGTGAACGCATGAAGCGTAAGTTAAGACAGCAAAAGAAAAAATATATATTGAAGAATGCAAAAGAATTTTCACGGAAGATTTTACGTAGCTTCTATGAAATTAAAAAAATCAAAAAAATAGAAAACAGTAAACACAAACGTGATAAAGTCAAGACGATAATTCATTTTTGAATTCATTGAAATTTTAATTATTAAACTAATATTACAGAGTATTAAAACTAATATCGTAGTAATAATAGAAGGCTTATCATTAGTTTATTATCATGCAATATGCAATGAAAATATCATAATCATACGATATCCATAATTGTTATGAGAAAATGTTTACATGTTTACTTACACATGTAAATAAATAAATAATATGTAAATAAACAACACGTAGGTAAATAAGTCATATATGTTTGTACATATGCTAATTATACATAGTGCATGCTGCAGCATGCTTGCATATTATGCATAACAAATGCATGCTACAACATTATGCATTACAAACTAGCGATGCAATTGTTTATTGTTTATGGAACAATTCATCTTCATACAGCATATATAGTAGTATTATTGGAATATTATTGTTATTTTTAAAATGCATGCACATGCAATAATCCTGAAGTGTAAGCCAGGAATATTTTTCAACTAAATTACACACAGTAATCTCGAGAATTTGTATTTTATCACTAGGAAAGACGGAATATACGGTAAATACAAAACAGGATACGGTATTTATAAAAGCGTGCCCTACAGTAATACAGATGCAAAAACAATGCGGTAGCCCTGAATACACAATAATCTCGGAATTGTATTTCATCGCTAGAATAGATGAAATAACAAAGTATGATAAATATAAAAGTATATTTTGCGATGAAATAGGTGCAAAAAAAACAGTACAGTAGTCCGGAAATATACTCATAACACCAGAATAGATAGAATACAAGCTACAGTAATACCGTAATACATTCCTCGCTCAGAATACAGTAACCCGTGAGAATATAGTTCCAGAATGTTCAAGGATACTGTTGCAAATTGTAATATTGCACGTACGCTGTTCAACTAAATTTGCATACAGCATGAGATCATGCCCGAGCGTTCAGGCATAAATGTATCATTTAGTTTATCTGCTGTTATCATAGCGATTGGTTCATTGCTAATTATCATTTTCAAGGTATGATTTCAGAGGATTAAACTTACGTGTGAATATGCGTGCGTTACGTGTACCTTTCTTTTACATTTTGTTATATGCTTTACGTAAATCAAAAATTGTATAAAATACGATCAAATAATTATTTGGTATAATTTATGCAAATAATTGCTTGCAATAGAAACTTACGTTAATTTAGTAGTTTAACGTTAAATTCTAATATTTTTTATGTTTTATAATTCATATATGTAAAAATATTATTACACATTTCGTTTGCACAAATTTGCGTAATTTTATTCTTACACGTTTTTGCTGATTTAATCATACACAGAGATGTACGTGTTTTATTGCATAAGTTAAATTCTTTCTTTGTATTTTCTTTTATACGTTTATATCTTTTTCTTTAAAAAAAAAGAAAGCTAAAATTTTCTATTAAGATAAATATTATTAGTTAAGAGTGAAGTTTAGAATTTGAAATGATCAATGATATAGCTAAAAATATTTCACTTTGCAAAATGATAATCATTCTTTACATGTATTATTTAATAAAGAAATTATAACTTAGGATAAACTTTTTGATAATCTTCTTATCATTAGTTGATATTTCTGTTAGGAAATTTATGAATTGTTAGAATTAAGCTTGATAAGAAGAGGAAGGAAGCTGTTATTGTGTGAAAAAGAGGTTAAAACAGGTTTGAAAGTTGTTCATTTGCGCATTTAAGAAGGAAAAAGAGTGTTGAGTTGATTGGTATTTCAGTTTGGGTTATTTTTGTACTTAATAAAACACTATTTTCATCATGCTAGTTTAATTATTTTAAAAAATGAAAAATTTTTTGATTAATAATGATGAGTATATATGAATGTATATATGTATGGGAAATGATTTATTTCATTTGTTATTTGTATAAATTGAATGATAGAATTATAGAACGATTCATCACGACAATACCAGAACAACAAGCAACAACAACAACAACAACAACAAGAGCAGCAATAGCAGTAACGATATCAAGGTGACAATAATAAGATAGGCGGTAACGCGACATACAATACAGAGGAATTATGTCATCTAGCAAAAAGTGCATTGTACCAACAATAGTTCAAGATACATCACCTTCACGAACTGTAAGTTTCAATGAATTAACTGGTGGCAAAGAAAGAGTACGTATGTCGCTAAGTGTGGAAGAGTTGGCATTGTTGAATGAAATTCAACGTCGTGGACGAATTAATTCTTCCACTGTAAGTTATTTGATTTGAATCGAAAAAAAAAAAAAAAAGCAATTATAAAATATCATAGTGCTGCTAATAATCATAATAGTTATAAGGAAATTAAATAAACTATTGTAATTTAATTGTTTGTTGTTTTAATCAAGCGTTATGAATTCAATTTGATTGATCATAATATGAGAATAACTAATGATTGCAATGTGTAAATTTAATTTGAATTTATTTCACGCACATTTATAATATTATTATTTATTTACTTTAGAACGTACGAACAGGAAAGATTAGTGTTTCGGAATTAATGGGATGTGGTGATAAAAACGCTGACAAAAAGAAACGAAAAAAAGATCGTAATGGTTCAGTAATGACTGCTGAGAGTAATAAAGATCACCACAATCTTTTACCATCGATAATTGGAACAACAAATCACGGAATATCAGTCGATCCAGCTACTCTCCTTGATGTTGCAGGATGGAAGATTCCTCCATTACCACCAGGACTTGTCTCAATAAGTAATTTTATCGTTAATTTATTCAACAATACGATAATATCCTTTATTATGGTTACTTATTATTTGTAGATGCATTTGCATTCATTTGCAATTTACTGCAAATTATTAGCAAAAAACATAAATTCTATAACATTTCTTTGTTTTCCTTATAGCTCATGAAGCAGATCGTCATCCATATCCATCAGCTCTTCCCACATGTATATTTGAAAAAGCGATGAAAGCAGCTGCGATTGTTCATGCTGGTTCTCAGTTGTCACCTTTATCTACCCGACATAATACTGCTGGTTAGTTGTTTTTTTTTTTAATATGAAAAAGAAATAATTTGTCAGATGTGAAGGGAACCTTTAAATTTTATTTTAAGATATATTAAGAAATAAATTTCACTAGATCAAAGTACTGGGAAATTGATAGCAATGATTAAGGCTTATTTTTGCTTAAGGCTCGTATCCGGCTTTTTTTTTTTTTTTTTTTTTTAGTCCCTTTTAGTTATATGTTTAAGGTAGCGGTAACGGAGTAGCAGCAAACGGGAATACGACTCAGTTAGCACCATTGGATTTGATTCGACTATTACCACCACTTTCCCCGATGTATCCATTGATTTCAGACGGAATGCAACGACCTGCGACACCTACAGCATTGGGGCATGGTATCTCTGCCCATGGTTTGGGTCCTCAAAGACAAGGTAATGTTAGTTATGTCACTACCAGTGGGTTTGACTTACTACAAGAATGCATTATCAATTGTCAATGACATAAGGACAACATACCTTTCTCTCTCTCATTTGTCTGCCTATCTTCCTGTAGAAATAATAGAAGGGATTTCTATTTATATATTTTTTTTGAAATATTTTGAAATATTGAAAAAAAAAAAACCCGCAAGGATCTTTATAGGAAGAGGAAATTTCAGCACTAGCAGGACCAGCCATAGCTCAGTTGGTAGAGCGGAGGACTGTAGAGTATAAGCTGACATCCTTAGGTCGCTGGTTCGAATCCGGCTGGCTGGAGAGTGCCTAACTTTTAACATTAACATGTTGTAATTATTGTTATACGTGTACCAAATTAAATTAAATCACTACTGTCATATTTCGGAGTAACCGTAGTTAATTCATTATTCGTTAATTTTCATTTAGCCATTGTATATTTAGCCTATGAAATGATAATTGAGTAATTGTCCAGCTAGCTTTCCATGAATAAATTGTAGCAATTAATGTTGGAAAGGGAATGATAATATTGGCATCTTTCACTTCTCTCTTTTTTGTATTTTTTTTTTTTTTGTAAAGAATAAATGTAAACTTCTCAAATATGAAATAAGTGGTATGAATTTTTGATTAGTTTATCAGCTATAGTGCTGCAGCACTTGGGTATGGTTAAAGTTTCAATTTTATTGATGTGACGTTTGCTTCCATTACTACATATTATGGTGATGGAGACTATTGCAAACAGTCATACACATGCATTGCATAAGAGTATGTTGTCCATATTATTTTTCTATATTAATTTTCTATGTTTTTTTTTTTTTTTTCGTTTTTATTTTTTATTAAAAAATCAATGTTCATTTGGAATGTTTTCAAATGTTTATAAATGTGAGAAAATTTTTAAATATCCATAATTATCATTTGCAGTTAATAGGAATGGTGGTTTTGGTGCAGCTGGACATCATCAATATTTCAATAATTTACACTGCATGCAAGGTAATCCCAGCAAGGTAATGGAAGTAATCAGCAGCGAAATATTCAACAGAATCAGAAGACTCGTAAACCCTTTTTTATGCCTTACATGAGTTTGGATGCGGTAAATCGTGGAATAGCCAATGGAGATCTCATTAAGGTATACTTCTATTCCTTGCAAGTTAATGTTGGCTCATATACTTATTATTTTTTTTTCAAATATCCTACATGTCTTAGTATGTCTTCCATTTAATTACTGACTTCCTTACCTTTCATTATGAATATTGGAAGACATTAAGAATTTATATTATTGTATTAGGTTCACTTAAGGGTATTTTGCGTGTTAATCAACGCAATTACGAAGAATCATTTGTGGATAATCCTATGGGTGATGAACAGCAAGATATCTTGATTCTTGGTGTTCACGATCGTAATCGCGCACTTCATGGTGATATTGTCGTTGTTCGCATCAAAGACAGGAATTGTTGGGTTGTAAGCTTTATATTGTTTTTCATTTTTTAATATTTTTATTTTGCAAGTTTTCTCTTTTTTTTTTTCCTTTTTTTTCGTAATTTGTAATGTTAAGGTTCGTGATGCACTGTATGAAGCATGGCGTGGTGGAAATTTGAAAGCTAGTGTCGATGACAACGGCAAGCCATTGACCATCCCACCAATTAAGCGTAACGATTATGAAGTAGAACTGTCACCTGCTGAACTTCTTGATGTAAACTACTTTTTCATGTAAAAAAACTGTAAATCATTGAGAGTTTATTGCAGTATGACTTACCTGTAGTCTGAAATTTTCATAAGACAGTCTTTCGTTTTCCAGTTGCCCGCATGCGTTGGTAAATGCATTTCAAGTGGAAAGATGAAAGAGGATGTGCCCGTTACAAGTAATCGACGATACAGCCGTGAACAGATGCTATGTATTGCTGCAAAGGTTGCTTTCAGAATTGCTTGTATGTAATCTATGAAATTCCTAACTTTGTCGTAAGATTTACGAATTTCATCTTATTTTAGCTTGAATTGGAACGTCGTAAACGAGTTACAGATGATAATGGTGGTATAGATCCGCTTATTCTGAATACCATATCCAAATTGGCCATTATAAAACGAACTGATTCATCAACGTATGTAAAATTATTCTTTATCTCTATCTTTCATTAACATCCAAAATACATCTATCGGAATTTACTGGATATGTTTAAGAGGTCTTTCACAATCCGGAACATCAGCATGTGGTACCTCTGTTTCAAGTTTGGGGATAAGTACAGTAACGACAAGGCGTAATGGAACTGGCACAAATGGATCTGTGCAGCGACGATCAAATTATCGAATTTTATCGGATATGCCTGATGAGGACTGGGGAATTCCTGATATGTGCCTTCAAAAAACTGCCGAGGTTAAATCCAAACTTTTCATTGTTTTGATCATCTATAACTGTTGTTCTTTGTTAGTTGTCGGTATTGGTATGGTATTCTCTATTTATTTAAATTATGAATAAATAGGAGAATTTTTAGGTAGTTTTTATCAGTGAACAAAAACATTGTCGAGCTGCAGTAGGGATGTTAAAAATGATGGCTGATGGAAATCGTAATTGGGCACTTTTCTCGCCAGGTGATTCACGAATGCCGCGAATGATGATACCAGCGGAACAAACGCCTGCTGCATTTTTTGATCGGCCGCAAGATTTTGCAAAGTTCATTTATGTAGCACGAATGGTAGAGTGGCAAGCAACAGCACAATTTGCTCGAGGGTAAGCAACTTCTCTTCATTACTAATGCTGTTTTTAAGATGTTATATTCTGCTACATAAATCAATGATATATTTAGGAAGTTGTACAAAAGCCTTGGTTTAGCGGGTGATATAGAAGCAGAAACAGAAGGCTTACTGTTGGCGAATGATGTTGATACTCGAGAGTTTTCGCAAGCAGCACTTTCATCACTTCCAATAACCGAAGCAGTGGAATGGAAAATTGATGAAGTTCGTTTTCGTTGAATGTCAAGCTAATGAAGTTGATTTAATAAATCTAATTATCTGTCATGCTTACAGAAGGAGTTCAAATATCGAAAAGATTTCCGAGATGAAACTGTGTTCACAATTGATCCAGTTACAGCTCGAGATTTGGACGATGCTCTTCACATAAAGCCAATTGCGAATTGTGATGGAGCTGGTAATCCTGGTTGGGAGGTAAGTTACAATATCATCCTTAAATTTGTATCATTTTTTTGGAAGTAGAAAATATTGTAAAAATTCCAGGTTGGTGTTCATATAGCTGATGTTTCGCATTTTGTGCAATTCGGCACCGAACTTGACCATTGGGCTTTTAATCGTGGTACATCAGTTTATCTCGTCCATAAAGTTAGTTCATTTAATTCCACTGCACTTGTTTTCGTACTCTTTGAATTATATTTGTCTGAGATTTCTAGGTGATACCAATGCTACCACAAATGCTTTGTGAAGAATTGTGTTCATTAAATCCTGATGTTGATCGGTTGACGTTTTCGGTGGTTTGGAAGATTAATGATCAAGGAGAAATATTTGATGAGTGGTTTGGACGTACAATTATTCGGTCATGTTGCAAACTATCTTATGAACATGCACAGGTAAGCAGATTTGCTTTCGTTTTCTAACTCTTGATTTTGTCAGTTGTAAATTTTCTGAAGAATTTTATATGATACTTTCAAGTTTGCTATCTGCAGGACATTATCGTTCATCCGGAAAAAGATTTTGTGTCATCCGAGTTGCCGAAAATTTTCAATGGCAAAAAGTCGGATGAAGTAAAAGAAGCAGTACTTCGCCTGAATAAGGTATCATTTGCTTCAGATGATTTTTAATACCGATTTGGATTCAAATCAGTATTTAAAAAAAAAGATACTACTTTGTGTGATCTAAATTTCGTGGAAATAATTACATTGTATGCTTCGTTCTCATCCTCAACAAATCGATATTTTAGTGATTTACTTAAATGTCAAAACTATGCATCATTATCGAGTTTTACAGATTGCAGTCATCTTGAGAAAAAAACGATTTGAAAACGGATCTATTAATTTCGAAATGCCAAAATTAAACTTTACACTTGATGAAACATCGGGAATGCCTAACGGTCTTTGTCTTAGCGAAGTACGTTTCCTATTGATCTCTCTTGCACAATTTTGTAGACGTTTCATCAACTTGCAATTTATTATTATTATTTTTTCTTTTAAATATGATCAGTGTTAATGTTATTTTATTATAGCGTAAGGAAGCTAATTTTCTTGTGGAAGAATTCATGTTACTGGCAAATATGGCAGTAGCTCGAAAAATTGAATTATCCTTTCCGAAAACTGCACTTTTACGGCGACATCCACCTCCAAAAATAAAGGTATAATTTTTTCCGCATTTTTTTCAAAACTGATAAAAATAGCTTGCTGAATTTTATTTCTTATTAATGTTACCAAACTTTATTTTTCCTAAATAGTCGCTTTCTCAAATGTTATTTTGTAGATGCTACGCGATATTTTGGAGAAATGTGAAAAAGTTGGCTTCGAAATAGATGGTTCTTCGAGTGCAACAATCGCTTCAAGCTTGCTAAAGTATGAAGGAAATAATGAATTAAAGCGAACTGTCGTACAGGTAACACAAATTGTTACATATGATTAAGAAATAGAAGTAAAAATTAACATTTAATATATTTTTTTATAATTAAAACTGCAAGTAAAGAATATAATATCATCTTTGTTTTAGATGCTAACATATTTACTGATGAAATCGATGCAATTGGCATTATATTTCTGTGTTGGTTCGTTGAAAAACCGAGCTGATTATGCACATTACGCTCTTTCAGTTCCGTTTTATACTCATTTCACCTCACCAATACGTCGTTATCCAGATATTATGGTTCGTTGATTATCATTATAATAAATATAGATAGAGTATGGTTTATCAGTCAAATTATGCAAAATCAAATTTCTGCACTATAAGCAAGTAATTTTGAATATATGCATTATTTCATAAATATAATGTGTATATATGGTTAATACTTTTTTTTTTTGGAATTGAAAATTATTAATTGGATGATTAATTTTGAGATTAGCTAGAATAACTAAGAAATTTTAAATTTGAGGAAATTCAAATGTATTTATGAAATATCCTAAGCATTTGTGGAATTTTTATTTCTTATAATTGAAGGACAGTTTTTCTTTTTTTTTTTCTTTTTTAGGTACATCGCTTTTTATCAGCAGCTCTTGGTTACTCTCCTGCACCTGGTTTAACTGTGAAAGAAGTCGAAACGATAGCAAGTCATTGCAATGATAGAAAATTAATTGCAAAAACAGTCTCGGAAGCAAGTGATGATATGTTCTTTGG